TCCTAAAATAAAAATAAAAAATATACTGTACAAAATATGCATTATACCTAACAATTAGTAGGTAACAGTTTTTTCTTCATAGTATCAAAAATATCTGTAATAGCACAACATATATCAAACAGGTTCATAGGAAATAGCTGGTCTTAAAAGTTTTTTAAGTTTCTTGTTTGATTTTTCTGTATTTCATATTTCTTTACTAAAATCAGCATTAATAAAGTGATTTCTAATTGAGCTTTATAGGCTGTATTATTTTCCTTTATAAAGCTTTTCTGTAGTTAAAATGAAGTTTATCATTAAGAAGCCGATTATACTAAAAGTGTTATATAAGTTATTATTTTGTTGTCGGAGATATTAGTACCTTTCATTACTTTATATCACCGTTTTTCTACCAGCGTGCTGCAAGAATTTTTAAAACATGCAATAACTGACTATTTAGTCAGGAATACTGACCTCTTTCCTCAGGTTGTAACCCCCCCCCCCCAAAAAAAAACAACAACAACCTAGCAGCCATCACAACAATAGCTGTCCAGTGTGAATGAATCAAATGACACCCTTTTGCTCTAGCCAGTTTTGCTCAGTGGATAGAGCGTTGGCCTGTAGACTAAAGGGTCCCAGGTTTGATTCCAGTCAAGGGTACATCCCTGGGTTGCAGCTCAATCCCCAGTAAGAGGCGTGCAGGAGACAGCTGATCCATGATTATCTCTCATTATTGATGTTTCTATCTCTCTCCCTCTCCCTTCCTCTCTGAAATCAAATAAAAGTATGTTACATATTTTAAAAAATCAATGTTAAGGTTTTCATCTTTACATTCTTTTGTTCTTGTTTTTTCATTCTCATCTTTACTTTTTTACTTTTTTTCTTGCTTCCCCCCCTCCCCCATTCATTTACTTTTTGACTGAGTTATTTAACCTCTTTTTACATTATGATACTTAATGTTATTCTACATTCAACAAACATCTATTGAGTAACTACTGTTTCAAGATACTGTACTGGATGTTGGGGCCAATATTCATATAAGGCAGTGGTTCTCAACCTGTGGGTCACGACCCCTTTGGGGGTTGAACCACCCTTTCACAGGGGTCGCCTAAATACATCCTGCATATCAGATATTTACATTATGATTCATAACAGTAGCAAAATTACAGTTATGAAGTAGCAACGAAAATAATTTTATGGTTGGGGGTCACCACAACATGAGGAACTGTATTAAGGGGTCGCATCATTAGAAAGGTTGAGAACCATTGATATAAGGTAATTGCCTGATCTAGAAGATAAGTGTAAATAAATACTTGCAATATAATGTGATGAGTAAGGAAGGGACTGACATTTATACTCTACATTATTCATTCAGTAAGTCATTCATTAAACACTTCTTAGGAGTCTACTTAGTTCCAGAAGAGTAATAGCACACAGCTCCTTTTCTTACAGACTTATGGAAGTCCGCTTTATAAATAGATAACCATTTATACTAATAAAAGGGTAATATGCTAATTAGACTGGATAGACTGGACATCTTCCGGACGACCTGGACATCCTTCCCGACAAAGCTGGGGCCCGGGCGGCACTGCCCAGGGTCCCAGGTGCCTGCAGCCAGCCTGGGTGGTGCTGTCCGGGGTTCCGGGTGCCTGCGGCCAGCCCGGATGGCGCCGCCTGGAGGAGGGAATCCTGGGTCCCATGTGCAGGGACTGAGGCAGAGGTGGTTAGAGGCAATCAGGCAGGCAGGCAGGCAGGTGAGCAGTTAGGAGCCAGTGGTCTGGATTGCAGAAGGTACAGGCCGGGCTGAGGGGCAGTCCTCCCCCACTCCCCCACCCCCATGCATGAATTTTGTGCACCTGGCCTCTAGTCTGTCTATATAAAAGCCTAAGCGACCATCCGACCGGTAGCTATGACACACAATGACCACCAGGGGGCAGATGCTCCGACTGGTAGCTATGATGCACACTGACCACCAGGGGGCAGATGCTCAACGCAAGAGCTGCTGAGTTGCAGTGACTTGGCAGCTGCGGTTCTCAGGTGATGCACCTGGAACCAGAGAGGAGGGAGCCAGGGTGTGTCACCCGAGAACTGCCCTGTTGCGAACCAGGACCCCTCTGGAGATGCTGGAGAGCTGGTTTCGGCCCGATCCCCGCAGGCCAGGCCCAGGGATTCATGCACCCAGCCTCTAATAGTTTGATAAAAGAACATGAGGAAAAAGGTCTTGGGAACATATTAGGAAGTGATTAATTTTGCTTTGTGAATCAAGGAAGACTTTTGGAGGAGGCAGTAGTTGACCTTAGTCTTAAAGGGTTTACCCAAATGAGCCATAGATCAGAGATAGGCATCGCAAACAAGGAATTACTCATGCAGAGAACACAGGAAGGCTGCTACTCGGTAATAGCTTTGGGGTGGCTTCAAGCACTTGAGAGATGAGATGCTTGTGAGAGATGAAGCTGTCAAAGTAACCTGGCCATGCTATAGAGTTGGTACTTACAGAAACAATGGTCTGTTGCAGCATCATCCAAAAAATTTTTGTGATGATGGAAATCTCTGTGCTGGTAACTTCAGTAGCCACTTAGGCACATGTGTGGCTGTTAAGCTGTGCTGAAATGTGACTAGTGTGTCTAAGAAACTGGATTTTGAGTTTTACTTAATTTTAATTATTTAAATTTGAATTGTCACACCTGTGTTTTAATTATGTTTTTTACTTTGTATATTTTATGATGCTTTGACTTGACATCTAGGGGCCTTGATGGCCTTGGAGAACATGCCCCTCCCAGGAACAGCTAATTCCCAAAGATAATAAACAACTTGCCTGTGGAGCTCACCTTTCATATGGAAATCAACCAATCCAAAGCCTACACCTTACCCTACCACCTGTATCTAAATCACTTACCAACCAGGATTTCCCCTGTCCCAAACCACCCTGGGTCAGGTATGAAACAACTAGGGACCTCCTCAACAGCTGAGAGCCCACTGAAATTATTCACTCCTAAACTGCTTACCCTGCCCCACCTTGCTGTTCCCTGGAAGCCACAATAGTCTGTGCCCAGGCTTTCCTGTCACCTTCCACCTGATCAACCCTGATACTTTCCCCGTGTCCTGTGTGGCATGGTGTGTCCCCTCGTGGGAACTGTAAGTAATAAACTTTTCTTTCAAGGCAGTTGTCTTTGTGTCTGTCATCTTATATCTGATTAAAACAAAACCTTGAGTACAAATCAAAACAGTCTGGCTAGTGGCTACTATATTGTACAGCACAGATCTATAGATAGGTCTCTCTCTCCCAAGAAGCAGTTCTTTTTCATTTCTAGAAGTTTAATCAAAGGATCTATATGGAATGTTCCACTTTGGTTATGAGAATAGAATAGCCAGCATGACAGGTAAGATACTTATCCTACAGAGCTTCGTTCTGGTGACTAAAAGATTACACCCATTGCCCCCAAATTCCTACCGTATAGCATTAAGTTGAGCTGGCAAAATATTTTTGCAAAGGAGTTGCCACTAATATTTTTAGTCTCTACTAAAAGCTAATATTTTTTTCTGTGCCAGGCATAAATAGGTTGTTTCATGTAGCGCTCATAACAAATCTTTGGCATTGTGTTCCATAAAAAATAGTTTCATGCCCTGGCTGATTTGGCTCAGTGGATAGAGCGTCGCCCTGTGGACTGAAGGGCCCCAGGTTCGATTCCAGTCAAGGGCACTTGCCTGGGTTGTGGGCTCGGTCCCCAGTGGGGGGCATGCTGGAGGCGGCTGATCAGTGATTCTGTCTCATCATTGATGTTTCTATCCTCCTTCCTCTCTGAAATCAATAAAAATACATTTTTTTAAAAAAATTGGCATTTTTTGGAAAAATTGGCATTAAGCCAATCTTTTAATAGTTACATAGTAAAAACAGTTATCTCTGGAGAGTAGTTTTACCAGGAAAAGAACAGATAAAATGTTATATCTGTTGGATTTGATTCATGGTGGATGAGAACAAACTTACTGTCCTGGACTATACCTGCTTAAGTACAGTTTACCCACATGAAAAACGGGAATAATTATGGTACCTGACAAATATAATTTTTTAAGCTAACAGTATTAAATGAGATAAAACAGTTGCACTCTTAGTATATTCATTATCTTTAACATTTATTAGTATGCCTTGGCACATAATCTTCCGTTTTTTCCTACTAAGCTATTTTTACATAGTGCTTAGAAAGGTACCCGATAGGCCCTGAGGGAAGGATGTCAAATGATAACTCTTTAAGGACAGAAAGGATTCCCTGAAGAGCCCAGCAGAGGTTGGACACTAACCAACATTTGATAAAAACATGCTAAAATGTTTATCTTATTTCCCGGGGTGTTTATCTCCACAGGCATAAGGACCATTTAATTTATGTCACTTGTATTTCCTGTGCCCCAGAATGGTGCTGAGAACTAAAGAAGGCACTTGAAGAACACTTATGGAATAAGATGTATCTAACAATGAGAACATTTCATATACAAAAATTTTAATTAGTTTTTTAAAATAGTAGCTTTTACACAACATCTGCGTGTTTCTTTAGGAATCACTATGCCTTACCAAAAATGTAAAGCATTGAAACTAAAAAGTTAAAACATGTTCTGTCTGAAATTATATATGAATGGTAAAGTACAGATACTCTGTTGTGTGCTTTTAAACATTGTAGAAACATTTTCTTAACCTGTAAACTATATCACACATTGAATTTGGTTTATAATTATGGGTAGTATTTCCTGAAAAACAAATAATGATAAACATGAATATACTTAGGATAGTGACAGGATATTTGATATAGGACCTATCTCTGAAAATTTTGTTTTCTGTTTCACAAGTCTCAAGTTAGCCCACAAATGAAACAAGGTGGTCCTAGGTAAAGGCGGCTTGATTTACTGATTCATGGTTTTAAAGATGAATAGTTCAGAAATTGAAGAGAAGTAAAGAATAAAGAGTCTGCTCAAGGATGAGACATGCTATGTGAGTTCCGTGAGAGCACTGCAGACTAACATCTGTGCATGTTTAGTTTCAGAATGGCTTCGGTTATTGCCTTTCCTTGGTGTCCTTGCACTACTTGGCTACCTTGCAGTTCGTCCATTCCTCCCAAAGAAAAAACAACAGAAGGATAGCTTGATTAATCTTAAAATACAAAAGGAAAATCCCAAAGTGGTGAATGAAATAAACATTGAAGATTTGTGTCTTACTAAAGCAGCTTATTGTAGATGTTGGCGTTCTAAGACGGTAAGATGTCCATTTATACATACACTAAAATTTTGTGTAATTAAAATGTTTTCCTTCTGAAATCCTTAATTTTGAGGTCCTGTGAGATGAGAGGTTTTTCCATAGTGTTCAGTACTGAAAGTCTATATTCCTAAATTAAAGTTGCATTTTATGATCTATACTACCTACATTAGAAACGTTAGAGCAGCAAGGAAGAATAATGATGATGTTTTTACTATGTTTTATCAACTAGCTAAAGTAACATAGTTTAAAATACACCTATATTATGAGAGAGGACATAAGGTTTAGTGGAAGAGTTTAAGCTTTGGAGTCTGAATAAATTTTGGTCAAAGCTGATGACTGCCACGTACAGTATGACTTTGGGCAAGTTACTTAATCTTTAATCTCTGATTTTTAATTCTGATAATATATCAACATCACAGACATTTTCAAGAATTCAGTGAGATGATGTATGTACAATGCCTTATAGTATGAGCTAGTAAATGTTTTGATGAGATCTGTTCTACTTTAATCGTAGGTTATTTGAGGTTTTAAGTACAATAATGTTTATCACATCATCCTTTAATAGCCAAGTGTTAGAAACAATCTAGAATCTGATAATAGAGGAATGATTAAAGTATGGTGTAATAAAAATGATATAGGGTGCACGGCCAGTCTGGTTCAGTGGTTGAGTGTTTACCTATGAACCTAGAGGTCATGGGTTTGAATCCTAGTCAGGGCACATACCCTGGTTTCGGGCTGGATCCCCAGTAGGGGGTGTGCAGGAGGCAGCCAATTGATGTTGATGTTTCTCTCTCATTAATGTTTCTACCTCTCTATCCCTCTCCCTTCCTCTCTCTCTAAAACCAATAAAAGCATATTTTTTTTAAAATGATGGGGTATTAGGAAGCCACTACAAATCATGTTTTAAAGAATATTTAATGGCATGAAAGCATAATATAATACAAGTAAGACAAGTATATTACAGTTTTTAAAAAATATGTTTTTATTGATTTTTTGAGAGCGAGGAATGGAGAGGGAGAGAGAAGGAGAGAAAGGGAGAGAGAACATCGAAACCTGGGCATGCGCCCTTACCGAGAGTTGAACCTGTGACCTTTCTGTGCATGGGATGATGCTCAACCACCTGAGCCACAGCGGCCAGCCTATTACAGTTTTTTTTTTAAAATAAAAATGAATACACATAATAAATGCAGAGGAAAAATATGCTATAATGTTTCCTATGAGTGAATTTTTAAAACTATATTTTTTTAGTTTTTCAAAAATTTTATAATATGCATGAGTTATATATAAGAAAATATTTTTTATATATTTTGAATTTAAATTACATTATTTTAAATTTAAATAAGTGAATAGGTGAGTTCAAATTTAGAGCTTCACAGAGAACAAAAGCTTATTTGATCCCCTTTTAAACCTGTTGTATTGCCTCATATGGAATCATCCAAAACTTTTTACTTAAAATCTACACCAAATACTGAATTAGCTATTTAAAATTGTTAGATTTGCTGTGATATAAGAAGTCAGGTTAGGTGAAGAATACATCTATTACTCAGGCAAGCTATCTGATGTATTATTTTCTTTTTCCAAAGTAATGTGCATTTCACAAATATTTCTACTTCTTGAATCATTTAAAATAACAGGTGTAATTCTTTTTCCTTTCTAGTTTCCTGCCTGTGATGGTTCACATAATAAACACAATGAATTAACAGGAGATAATGTGGGCCCACTAATACTGAAGAAGAAAGAAGTATAATAGTAAGGAATTAGGATTGAATTGTGTGCTGTAAAATCTTATGATATCTTTTCATTTTTTGTGTATAGATCTTTCAAATGGTGGTCTTAATTACTACTACTTGTGGAGTAATTATTTCTGCCAATTTATTTTCTTGCTACACTACTGTTTATATTTGATACTTCATATATTCAATCATATAGAAATTAAATTGTGCAATCCTTTTATTCTGACTTCAAAGAATTAATGTATTTTCCTCCAATAAACCAACACTTCTGATTTTAATTAATTGAGGAAATATCTAAGTCTGGGGCAATAGGTCCCAAACTATTTGTTTGAAAAATCAATATTTTCAATAGATTATATAATTTACAATTTTCTCCCTACTCTATTAAACATATTATCTTTCAGTTTGCTTCTGTCTTGATCATTTGAAGGACTTGTTTCTTTTTCAGCCTTCCACACTCCATTCTTTTTAGATCAATAAGAAAAATATTGCTCTTAAGAATTACTTGAGTTTTCAAAGAGATAAACTCTTCGCTTTAGAGAGATTGTTGTCTAGTAAATATAAATATCCCAATTTCAGGGAAGATGTGAACTGGATATAAAATGTTCCAACAAGGAACACTTATTTACATTATAAAAGTTTGTTTACAGTGGGCTTGTTTGCCTCTGTTTAGGTATATTGTGTATCTTGAGCTATTTGACTCACTGACAGGGTGGGGTGGGGTGGCAAGAACACTTATACCTAAACTCAAGAGCTGCTGAAATTTGAAGGTCAATGAGAAATAAACATATTTAAAAAAAGTTCAGTGGTCAAAATTGTATTTATATGAACATTTTCCTCTTTATAACAGTGTAAGCCAATAAAACAATACAAGAAGTTTGCAAAATAAACTTACTGGAGAAGCTTTAAAACTTTTGTAATTTTTTAGCCTAAGAGTCTATTTGGTTTCATCTTATACTGTATTACAGTTCTTATAGTATTAGCTATTCTAAGTCTGTCTTTTAAAGGTAGAATGCACTCAGCACACTATGCCTTCATTATAAGTGGAGAAGGTACAGGAGGCAGACGTGTAACTCTTCTTCCAATCATAAAGTTATTCAGCATTTACTGTACCAGACACTGCACTGAGCATAGTACCTGCATTTTTAATTTATTACATGTAATGTCAATAGGTTCTGTTGTGTGATCTTGACTTTCACATGACCAACAGCAGGAATTTTAAAGTGAGGGTTAGTAATGTAGTTGTGGTTTTGAGAAGTTTTAGAAGGTATAAATCCAAAATTGTTGCTCTTTCCTTGCCTCTCCTGTGAGGAGGGACACATATAAAATTGTTCTCACTTTGGTTCTGGGTATTATTTCCTGAAACTTCTCTTCAACAACCCTACAGGGGCTTCTCTGTCAGGTTAACCAATTATTTCCACACAGTTGATCACAAGCCTGGGAAATACCCTCCTCACCAAAAGCTTGAATAGCCGCGTCTGCGGTCATGAAGTGCTTTTCTTTAAATGTTTCTCTGTAACTCACAGCAAAATGTTTGCACATGTCCTAGTAGTTCCCATACTTAGATTTCATAGGAGAATGGAAAATTTCCTGAAAATGTGGAGACTAAAATGAAATTATCAATTTTAAATTTCGTCAAGTAAGAACATTTACAAAATTGAAAACTAATAATCTCATAAAAGGTAATCTTAACACGCTGAAAGTAAGAAGGTACACTCACAATAAAGTTTCCTCCACATTTTCAATTGTTTAAATATGTTGAAGAGTTGTGCCCAAATATTTTTCCACCTGTGCAAATTTTTCAGCAGCCTGGGGCTGGTAGCAAGCTGTTGTTTAATAACAACAGTATGCATTATGATCAGTTGCTGTCACTTCCTCTTGTAAATTCACAGAATTCCATCATGTCTTCCTTAAAAAATAGACATCTAATAAGCAACTGCATCTGAATTAATATAACACAAGATAACTTAACTCTTGAAATACATACCTTGGGTTTCTAAAATATTCAAGAAACAGCTGTGTTGTTTATTGAAGTAGTCCTCACGTGATTATTTTGAGGACTACTTACCCAGGGAGCTACTCATTGCCTTACTCAGCAAATGATCGCCACCAGTACATGAGTAGGTATTCAAAACTGTTGAGCAGGTTTCAGGTATTAATGATTCATTCATTCATATGGATAATTAAGCAAGTTGTGTTATGAAAAGCACATTACAAATCAGCTTTGAATTCAGTGCCTCATATGATGATTCATTAAATTGCTTTTGTATTTTGTTACCTAATTAATAAGTTTATGCAAAGCCAATTAAGCCATCTGCTGATCTATATAGTTCTACTTTCCTTACATAGTCTTCCTTTAGAAATGTGCTTTCGAATTCTTCTGCAAAGAGAGTTTTACTCTTTCAAAACTGTTGTTCAACAGGGTTCTTAAATTACTAAATTATGATGGATATTTTATTTACTAGTGACCATAAGCATCTAACTAGTTGTACTTCATTCATTTAGACTGCAGTTGTGGCAGCATCACCAATCTGGAGAAGACCAGGAGAGATGTACTAGTAACACACATGTACTTTATTCAGAAATGAATGCCTCAGGCCCCCATCTTCACAGTCTCCTTTTTCTTACATCACACCTGGTTCTAACATGTTTGGTTATCTGATTTCTGCTGAACGAATCACAAGTATCTACAGGGTCCTGTGAGAGGTAGGGAAACAATAAAACGTGACAGCTGACTGCAGGGGAGGAGGAAACCAAAAAGTAAATTTAATGTGAAAAGCCTGGCACCTCAAGACCATTTAATAGAGGATCCTGCACATCACAGTCCCATCAAAATATACAAGTCATATTTGATGATGAATTTGAATCAAAAGTACTATATGATGTTTAAAATATGTTTATTTTAGAAAGGAAAGGAGAGGGAAGGAAACAGGGAGAGAGAAAACATTGATCTGAGAAACACCAACTTGTTGCCTCCTGTACACACCGCAAGTGGGGGTTGAACCCACAACCTGGGTATGTGCCCTGACCAGGAATTGAACCGGTGACCTTTTGGTGCACAAGATGATACTCAACCAACAGAGCCACACTGGCCAGGTCAATACTATATGGCATTAAGAAGGTAGGATATGTGTTGTATTTGATAATTCTAGTTTCCACTTGAAATAGTTAAAAGCTCAGTGCTTAAAGTGGTACATCCTGGCCCTAGCTGTTTGGCTCAGTGGATAGAGCATCGGCCTGCAGACCGAAGGGTCCCGGGTTCGATTCTGGCCAAGGGCACATGTCCGGGTTGCAGTCCCCAGTGGGGGGGGGGGGGTGTGCTGGAGGTAGCCAATCAATGATTCTCATCATTAATGTTTCTATTTCTCTCTCTCCCTTTCTCTCTGAAATCAATAAAAATATATTTTAAAAAAATAAAGTGGTATATCCTGGCTGAAAATTTGTGCAGGAAATAGCTTGACTCATTCTTTGATATTTGGAGGCTTATCATAGGAAGTTTTTCCATTCAACTGAAGCATTTTTCATTTCATGACTAATTCATTACAAAATTTAATTTGTTAAAGTATGAGGAAAACTAAATAAAGGAATGGTGATTTAAACCACATGAATTGTGTTAGGTGACCTCCCCCTCAGAGAGGATTACAGTCACGGTTGAAAACCACTCAGCAGCAGTTCACTGACTGCCTCACGGCCTGGCTGGCCCTTTGCACAGCGGCTGGAATGCAGAGGACTCCATGGCTGTTCTTTGGTTGGCTTGTTTATTGTCTGAGCTGTGCTGCATCATTGGAGGTTGGGCTTTAGTTTGTCAGAAAAGTCTTTTATTGGAAGCTCACTTTATTTTATCATGTTCACATGGTCTACTTTTAACTTTTGCTCCGGTTTCATACAGTCATGTAGCAAACATTTTAATATAAAAAGTAGGCAGTCCATATTAGGTGCTGTATTAGCAATTGTATTAGTCAATTTTGTTATGGTCTTGAAAGACATTGAAAATCTGTTAGAGGCATATTTATGTCTTTCAGTCAGAGGACATCACTCTCCTTTGGTTTCAATGCTGATTGTTTGCTTACAAAGTATACTAGTATCTGTGACTCTATTCTCAGAGCTCTGTTGTCAAACAGATCAGCCACAATGTTAACAAATTCCTGATCTCTGCTGTAAGGTTGTAATTTTCCAAAATAATGTAGAAAAGGGGAAAAGGGTAATAAATTGCATAATTACAGAGATGAACCCTGTACTAGTGAGAAAATAAAACTGTCAACAATTTACTAAATTTTTAAATATCCTGTAATTTTTATTAATATTCACCATGCATTCCTCTGCATTATCACATTGAAGATAGGCATCTCTAACATCCATTCAACAAATTTAAGAAACTCACAACCTAGAAGTACAGAGTTTTCAACTATATCGAATGCTGTCAAGAAGTGAAATAAGATGAAAATAGAAAAATGTTCACTTTAAAATGCTGTGTGCAACTGCAAAGCAACACATCGGAAAATCTAGAGGAAATGCATAATTTCCTAGAAAAACAAATGATGAAAAGTAACCCACGGTGAAATTTAAAATGTTAATAGAGCAATATCAAGTAAGAATGGAAAAATTTTTTAAAATCCATAATTTAAAAAGTACTAGGGTTGCAAGAAAGATAATTCCAATGTCATTTAAATCTCTATTTTTAAAAGGGAAAGCACTTCCCAATTTTTTCATTTGGCTAGTGTAACATTCGTATAAAAAGCTGATAAACACAAGACAACACTTCCCCCCCAGAACAATACCACTTATACACATGGATGAAATACTAAATAAAATTGTGGCACTGTAAAACAAACAATAAAAGTCTAATACAGCCCTAACCGGTTTGGCTCAGTGGATAGAGCGTCGGCCTGCGGACTGAAGGGTCCCAGGTTCGATTCCGGCCAGGGGCATGTACCTTGGTTGCGGGCACATCCCCAGTTTGGGGTATGCAGGAAGCAGCTGATCGATGTTTCTAACTCTCTATCCCTCTCCCTTCCTCTCTGTAAAAAATCAATAAAATATATTTAAAAAAAAAGTCTAATACATGATGGGAAATAGGATTGTCTTCCAAGAACTCAAGTGTTTTGATCACTCTTTAATCCCTGCTACCACCACCCACTATACCAGTGGTTCTCAACATTGGTTGCACATTAGAATCACCTGGGAATCTTTTTAAAATCCTGATTTCTGGGCCTCATCCTCTGGAAATTCTGTTTCTTTGTTATGGGGTGGGGCCACAACATTAGTAATAAAGAAACAGAATTTCCGGAGGATGAGGCCCAGAAATCAGGATTTTAAAAAGATTCCCAGGTGATTCTAATGTGCAGCCAAGGTTGAGAACCACTGGACTATACCGTCCTAAATCTCAAAAATGCCTTTTTCTCTATTCC